AACTCTATTTCTTATATTTAATTCATTCAGCATTTATTGGGTATGTATCCTGGGAAGATTAAGATATTTGGCCTCAAGAAACTGATATATTGGGTCGTTGGGAAAGTCATGACGCATTTTTGCATTGAAAAACACAGAAAAATACGTCATGACTTTCCTGACAACCCAAGAGAAACAAATCTTACAGTATAAGAGATATAACAACAATAAAAGGTTTCTGGAGGTATATAAAAGAGAGGTGTCTGGGAGGGGGGCCATCCAGGTGGACTGTGAAGGATGCCATGGGCTCATGGGTAGGCAAGAGGTACAGGGAGGTGTCTCCATTCAGAGTGAGCTGCTGGCCAGGCACTGGGTGTAGGACTGGTGAGCTGCCTGGGCTTGTTGTGTGTGCTTGTGTACAGGTAGGGGCTGGAAGCCGACTTTTTAGGGTTCAGCTAGCACTTCCACAGGTGACAGGAATCCAACAAAAAGCTGTAAGCAGGGGACAGATGGGATCATGTTTTTGTCTTTAAAAGGTCACGAAGACCTCCCTGTGGAGAATGGACTGCAGGGAGATGAAGTTGAGGCTGGTAGTGTGTTATTCTAAGGGGTTGGGTGTTTGCTAAGCTAAGGCCTGGGCACAGGAAGAGGAGAGCAGCTCTGAAAGCTAGAAAAGCCTGGTCAGACCTGGTGGAGAAAACTAGACGAACTCCAAGGTGGTGGGGACCTGGGCTGGATGGAACATGGCTTGTTGAATGGTTGAACTGAATTTAACCAGATGCCGAGGAAGCAGTCCTGTCTGACTGGCCAACCCTGGCTTATGGATTTGTCAAGACTGAAAAATCTGAACTTCCCTACAGAAATCTGGGGCTACAGGGATTATATCATAATTGTATTACACTTGGTAACAGAATTATACCTAAAATGCTAAACACCAGTTGCTAGGCATGTAATCTTTCTGAGGTAAGGCATCATCTAAACCAAATAAATATTTGAAGTCATCCAGGTACCTATTTATTACAGAAAACCCAAAAGAAATATATGACACATTTACTCCTTCAATAAATTTATAATCTTACTGGGACATAAAACACCAGAAATAAGTATAAGAAAGGATACAAAAAGATGCTTATTTAAATCCAATAAAAATATGATTCAAATAGGAAGTGGGGAAGAAAAATGTTAAGATCACTGTTAACTGGACCTTTTTAGAAGGTGCCACCTAACACAATGCACTCTGTTCACCTTCAAGGTTAGTTTAATCCCAGTATACAGCCCCTATAGACCATCACTTAATAGAGCTGGTGTCAGGGAACAAAGACATCCAGGCCTTCTGTTACCGGGAGAGAAAGAACATGATGTATATAAAGCAAAAAGGACCAAGAAAACTGAATCAGCAGTATCAGAGGTGTTTTCTAATGGGACCTATATGGTCTAAAAGGGAAAGAACAGGGAAGGCTGGCAGATATCCATTAGGGAAGTGATTTAATAGATTTTGGTGTCTCATTCTAAAGCTTGAGTTTTTTAAATTAAGGCCATTCAACATTTCCAAGTTTACCAACTTCTGAAAGTAGAGCACGTATGAGGCACCTCAGTAATTATTACACTCTGAGCTGAAGGCAAAAGGTTCTCCTTGCCCCACTCTGGCTGAACAAATTTACAAAACATATGCCAAAGCATTTAATTTATGAAAGTATTTATTCTAAATGGTGGCAAAATGAGCTTTTCCAAATCTTGGGGAGAATGATTTGACAGCACCTGGCTTTATTGTTAATGACAGCAATAGGCACAAGAGATTTAATTGCTATGATTTAACAGTAAGTTGGCCTAGTTGCTATTAAACAAAAGAACCACTTGACAAATCCAAACTTGTCTTAAGACTCCTGTGTGCGGTATCTTATCCTTCACAATCCTAAATTCTTGCTGTGCCTCTGGAGCATGTGACATGACACAGGTAACTTGTTCATACACTGGTAATATGATACCCCAAAAGTATTCTATCTCCTATTCTCTTAGACTCCTAGTCTTTGCAAAATAAACTTTAAGACATACTTTTAAAGTTTTACTGAAAGAATTGCAGTTAACAGTCATGCAACTAAAATCCTGTTACAAAATAACTTTCAGGTACTAGAGATAATCATTACAAAAGAGCACAGAATGGATAATTTTCATTTAAGAAATCACTACTTTCAATCTTTACGGAGGAAGATACAGCTATCACTGTAATGTCCCACTTTAAAGGGTCACAAATCATTACCAAAAAATGAGTAAGATATAGTAAGTAGGAACTGTATTAACTGTGCTTATGATTTTACAGAAGGTGAAACTTAATATTAATTAGTTCTTCAATGTGTGATTTCTGTCTCTTTATGAGATTAGTGGAAGAAATAAAATGATCACTTTTGGAAAAGGTCATAGTTTGAGATTCAAATTATGCCTTTTCTATTACTTTTGACAAGCTGTTAAAACTCATATTCATTTCTTACATTTTCATTGCTGCACTTTATCAACTGCTTTGGCAAAATATGCTGTAAAAGGGAAATTTCCGAAGAATATGACTTCCTATATTAGAAAAGAGGAAGAAAGATCTATTCCAAAAGGGTCTAGAATAATATTAAAGATAAAAGGTTGAAACAATCTGCTCATTCTTGTTTCTCATTATGTAAATTAAAATACCATAATTACTTTTCTAATTTCCAAAGAAACTCCTGCACTAATTCCATCATTGCCAACCTGCACGTGGGGTGAAGTTAAACTGAAGTTAATATGAAACAGCCATGTACGTTATCCAAGCAAAGCAATACTCATTTTTCCAATGCCTTTATCCTGTTTCTCAACTATGGAGGATAAATACTACATCCTCACTCAATGACAAACATTATTTAGATTAACATACAATGAAATTACGCAATGATAATAACAACTAATATTTATTGACCGCTTACTATTTGTCATGCACTTAGCTAAACACAAATTATCTAAAAAAAAAAAAATGAACTGAACCCTCATGACAGACAGCCCTGTGAGGTATTGCTAGGTATTTTCATATTACATACAGATAAGAAAACTGAAGCTTAGCAAAAATAAGTGGCCACACAGCTATTAAATAGTAAAATCACAGGATAGGATGAAGTATTTGAGGGTAGCCATTATTAGGGACAAGACTGATTTATCTCCAAAGCTAGAAATGTGTTTTTGCTTGGACACTGTGGAAAGGTATGGTCTTATCTCACAGCAGAGAACAGCAGAAGACTTTACAATAGAAGCAGTATCCCTCAATCATTGAGTATGTAATTGTTATATATGCTTTATACCTTTAGGTAGATATATGTGAGTAGATAAACACTTAAGAAATATGAACCAAGAATCAAATGAATTATGGAGGTGAGGAACAAGTGTAATGTGGGAAATTATTAGTTTTATGAAAATCTGAAAAATTGCAGATTCCCAAGGGAGGCACCATTGGCACTTGTGTGTATATGCGTGTACACACGTGTATGTACACATGCATGCTTGTGTAGAGGACGAGTCATTCTTTTTGTACAATGCTGTCCCATGCATAATAATACATTTAGCATTCTTAACCCTCACCCACTAAATACCAGAAGTTCCCTGGAAGCCTGTGACCACTGAATATACCCCTGTACATATTCTGCTGACCTGGACTGAGAGCTATTGATTGTTGGATAAAAATACTAGGAGAGAAGTAACTGATATTAATTGTGCGTCATGTACCAGGTACTCTGCTAAGTGCATTCACACATATTCATTTACTCTTCATAGCCGGATGAGGTAAGTACGTATTTTATCCCCATTTTACAGGACAAGATCCTGAGGCTTAGAGAAAGGTTAAATAACTTAACCAAGAACACACAGACAGTTTTGAAACCAACCATGTGGCTCCAAAACCACACTTCTCTGGGTTGGTCATTTAAGCCATAATGGTATGGTAGGCATGCCTTTCCTTTCTTTACTGAGGTTCCTTCAGCAAATAAAAATCCTTGTAAGTAGGACCCATGGTGTGTGTCGTTATGAACCAGGGGTGAATTAAGTTCCCTGGGTTGGGGTTGAGTGGCCACATGTGCAGTGAGGAACAGTTACAAGATGTGGGTGTCAAGAGTCGGGCTGGGCAGCTCCTATGTACAGGGTGGTATATTAGAAGTGCTTTGAGTGTGTATGTATATATGCACACGCATGGGCTGGTGTCGTCTGTGCAGTAATGTACAGAGGTGATGGGTACTGGCTATGCTAGAAGGGGAAAGGTTCACCATGCCGTGTGTGTCTACAGCGGCAGTTTGTATTGTGGTATAGATGACGGTCGTGTTTGAGGCTGAGGGAAGGGATATGCTAGATGATTTACATGCAGTGCATGTAGGGGGTGCTGCACGGGGAAGACTGTAGTGCACCTCACATGTGCATTTTTTTTGTATGGCGGGTAGTGCTGAAAACTGGAGTTGTTCCACAGGAACAAGTCTGGGTGTGTTCTGGGCCTGGGTATGGTGCGTGGAGACGCTGTGGACTGGGGTGTTTTCAGTGCGTAGTGAGTGGTATGTGCTGAAAGTGGTGCATACGAGATGATTCATGCTGTGCTGGGTAGAAACGGGGACTGGAGAGGAGGCGGCTGGCGTCGTGATGTGTGTGGCGAGCGATGCTGAGTGTGGCAGAAGAGGGGGGAATCATGCTAGATGCCCCACGAGTGTTCCTGACGTGGTCCGAGGAGCTGTATGGGAGAGGTGATATAGACAGAGGTGGGGTGGAGGCTGGAGGGTAGGGGCGAACGCCGATCCGGAGAAGCGGCAGGGGAGGGAGATGGGAGCGCTGCGAGACACCCGGACCGCGGAGGAGCTGCGTGGGCGAGGGGTCTGCGAGTGGATGCGAGAAGGAGCCAGCTCGCTTCCTCACCCGGGGCCACACTGGGCCGCCACGCTCCCGGCACAGCCTCCTGCCCGCCCCTTCCCTTCGCCCAAGGGCGTCCCCTTCCTCCCCACCCCGCCCCCGCCCGCACGGCGGTCCCGCTTCACCTGGTGAAGGCGAAGTACATGAGGCTGACGATGGTGAAGCTGAGCAGGGTGATGGTGTGCGGCCGGTAGAAGAAGTCGATGGTGATATCCTCCACTTGCTGCTCGTTGATCATCCGGAAATGCATCTTGTAGTTCACATCATCTTTGCTCAGGGTCCGGCTTCCCACGCAGGACGCCATGGCCCGCCTCCCCGTCCTGCGGCGGCGGCGGCGGCCCCGGCCCGTGGAGGCTGGGACCCCGGAGGTGACGCGCCGCAACGGGTAAGCGGCCGAACTGCAGGGCCGGATCTGGAGCGGAGCACAGGCGGAGAGCAGAGGGATGGAAAGGAGAGGGAGGGCGGGGTCGCGTCGCCGCCAACGCGGCCTCCGGCGGGGGACGCCGCCGGCCGTGCCACAATTGGCGTTTTGGAAGAGGCATCTCTAGGGACTCCTGGTGTTTTTAGACTCCCAGTGAACTAGCGCTAAAAGAAGCGGCGAGCGGGAGAAGGGAAGCTGTGGCCGCTAGCCCGCTTTTCCCGCCGCGTGCCGACAACTCTCCCCCTGCGCAGTCTCTCAAATGGTCTCGCCCACTCCGGCCGCAGCCCACGTGGGCGAGGCAGCGCCGCCGCGCAGGCCTAGCGGACGGATGAGCAGAAGTGCGGCTTCGGCAGCCTGGCAGTCAATGTAAGAGAAGCCACGAAACCTAGGCCTCACCACAGGTAAAGCGAAAGCTGCTGAAGAGCGAGGGGCGCTGCCCAATCCGCGCCCCAGGGCCTCTCATGGCTTTTAGGTCTTCGCGGCCCAATCGAGGGTGATTTGTTTTGTTTTTACCCCTGCTTGGTGAGACGAAAAGCTTGCTTACTAGCGGAGGACACGGAAGCCCTGCGTCTGCCTTCCTGCGGAAGTTCGGTGTCGGGAACTAAAATGGACTTGTTACAACGGCCTAGGGAGGGCGTCGATCAGTAGTAGATGAGAGGCCCCTTATTACTTACGAAGCAGTCTTCCAGCAGTCTTTCTTCTCTTGATTTCACTTATTAGCCTTACAGAGATAGACACTGAATCCTCGAAAAGCAGTATTTCATTGCCCGTTCCTGTTCGTAGCTAATGCACATGGTTAAGAATTATTACGTGATATTTTAATGGTCTAAAGAATTCTTTCAGGGTTTTTTCCTTTAATATTCCTGTTGAAAGAGTCGTGTTACAAGACTTATCACTAAGTAGTATTTTATGCACATATGCAAATGTCTTATCCGCTGTGTAGGCAAATGAGTTAACCATTGTCGTAGTTGATGTATTTCTGCCCAACGGACAGTGGAGCAGTGCAAGGCTAATGGAGAATCACTGGGAGGGTGGACCAGAGATGAGACCCAGCCCTGCTCCCATGAACTAGCAGTTAATTAGTAAGAGGTATACACAGCAATGAAATAATGTAAATAAGATAGTGCGCTTGTAAATAAAAATAGAAGGATAAACGTTAGTTGTGTACATAAAGGTATTTTAATGAATATGGATAGAATTCAAAAGTTAATCTGCCTTATGTGGGAGGAGTATTAATTTGAGGCTGGAAAAGCTGAGTGAATTTGGGATTTCAGGAATTTGCTTTGAAGTACAACGAAATTCTTAGACAAACTGAGACGTCAAAACATTTTACAGGTAATAGGGACCTTAAGAATTATCTTATTATACCTGCAACCTTTTAAAATTTTGCTATTTAAAGAATGGTTATTGAACGCCCTCTTCATGAACGGTATATTGTGCTAGACCACCACAAGAAGCCTACTCTTGTTAAGGTAGCCTAACTGAGGTCTTCTGGCTTCCAACTTAGTGCCTTATGACTTTGCTGTGCAAAGAATGAATATTTTAGGTTTGAGGGAAAACTTGACAGGTTTGGAGGCTCATTTCCTACCAAGATTTAATAAAAATCACCTATCTCAGGCCATTGTGAATACTTATTTCCTTTCTAAAATCATCTCAGAATGACGGAACAACTTTCACTTTTTAAAATCCCTTTCAGGAGACTTTTCTAACCACACACATTTTTTATTCAAGAATCTGTGTATGTGGAGGGCTGGCTTAAGTTATGTCCAGATATTCCACTGTACGGTGGTCGGTGCCCCAAACTCCCAAATTGTTTGGGGGTCAACTGTACAGATCTCTAAGAGAAGGTTATACTCTCAAGTATTTGGTCTAATTCAGAGCATAAAATATGCTGAATTCCAGTAGTATACAGAAAAACAAAGTAAAAAGTTATATGCAATTTATTTATATTTGCTTGTGTAATCAATAGTAATAACAGCTAACATTTATGGAGCATTTTCTATGTTAAAATCTGGGCTTTGTTTTCTACATATTACCTTATTTAATGTGAAATTATATGCATGAAATTTACATTTCTAATTAAGCTGGTTAAATATAAAATTCCTTCATATTTCTAGAGTTTAAAGTAGTGACAGCCTTTCCTAATGAAAATCTTCTTAAAAGCAACTGCTTTTCCATCAAAAATATACATGTACTCATTGCTGATTGCTTATGTATTCTCTCACTTCATTTTGCTATGACTTTTTTTTGAAGGCTTTTCTTTTTCTTTTTTCCTACAAACAATTTGATAAAACTTGTTTTGTTCAATGCTATTTTGAGTAGCAGCTTTATCTGTGAAATAATCAACATTGTTTAGCCCTGAGGATGAAGCAAGAAACAACCTACTAGATTGCGATGATAATATTTTGATGATTCATTTAAGACAAAGTAGATTTCTTTCTGTTTTTCATTTTGTAATGAACATACGGTTGACACTTCGACAACATGGGTTTGAACTGCACAGGTCCATTTATACGTGGATTTTTTTCAATAAATGTATTGAAAAAAATTTGGAGATTTGTGACAATTTGAAGAAACTTGCAAGCTAACAACATAGCATAGAAATATTTTTTTTAAATCAAGAAAAAGTTAGCTATATCATGAATGCATAAAATATATGTAGATACTAGTCTATTTTATCACTTACTACAATAAAATATGCTCAAATCTATTATAAAAAGTTGAAATTTATAAAAACTTGTGTACACAAATACAGAACATACATAGTGCCATTCGTAGTCGCAGTTGAGAGAAACGTAAACAAATGTAAAGGTGTGGTATTAAATCATAATTGCATGTAATGAACTGTAGTACAAACTGTACTACTGTAAAAATTTTGTAGCTCCTTCCTGTATGATGAGCTCAAGTGTTGCGAGTATCCACTTAAAACATCATGTGATGCTAATCATCTCCACATGAGCAGTTCATCTCTTCAATAAATTCATATCATAGTAAAAAAGTGATCTCTTGCGGTTCTCAAGTATTTTTCACTATGTTTGGTGCAATATCATAAACCTTGAATAACACCATGAGAACCACACGAAGTACTACTATTGATACTGGAAGTGCTTCCAAGAAGCAGAGGAAGTCATGACATTACAAGAAAAAGCTGAATTGCTCAATATGTACTGTTGTATGAGGTCTGCAGCTGCGGTTGCTCAGCATTTCAAGATAAATGAATCCAGCATAAGGACCATTGCAAGCAGAAAAGGAAATTTGTGAAGCCATTGCAGCAGATGCAGAAACCTTGCATTTTTTCCAAAATCCCTTTTTATTTCATATTGAAAATTTGAAATAAATTTTCATATTGCAGCTTTTATGTGGGTGCAGAATTGCTTAAGAAAGGCATACCTGTAAACTCTAATATGATTCAAGAAAAAGTAAAGTAATTAAATGAAAACTTAAAACAAAAGGAAGGTGAAGGATCTAAAGCTGGAGAATTTAATGCCAGCAAAGGAGGATTTGATCATTTTAGGAAGAGGTTTGGCTTTAAAAATGTCAAGATAACAGGAGAGAAGCAGCGTCTGCTGACCAAGAGGCAGTACACAAGTTCCCCAGATGTCATTAGGAAAATAATTGGGGAGAAAGGATATCTGCCTAAACAGGTTTTTAATTCAGGTGAACATGCCCTATTCAACAAAAAAAAAATGCCACAAAGGACATTTATTAGTAAGGAACAGAAAGGGGGTAAGGGGATTCAAGATATGAATCTTAGAGAAATTCAAGAGCTAATAGACACTACACCAGAGGAATGAAGATGACTTGATGGAGATGAGTGCTTACAAACCAGTGCCAAACGATGAAGAAGAAGATATAGAAGAAGCAGAGCCAGAAAACAAACTGACAATAGACAATGTGGCAGAAGGGTTCCGATTATTCAAGACTGCTTTTGACTTCTTTTATGACATGGACCCTTCTAAGATACTGGTAATGAAACTAAAGCAATCAGTGGAAGGATTGGTATCTTATAGAAACATTTTTACAGAAATGAAAAAGCAAAAAAGTAAAAAATTACAATGTATTTCTGTAAAGTTACACTGAATGTGCACAAGGAAAGTTACACAAGGATGAAGACCTTTATGATAATCCACTTCCACTTAATGAATAGTAAATAATCATCATGCGGTATAGTTAATAAACTTATCTACTGTGTATGTGTGTGTGTTCCTATGAAAATCTAATAACTGTTCAGCAAGAATTTTATGAGACATTTTTGTTTTCTCATCATTGCCTAAGTATTCATCGTGTAGAATCATGTCCAAGACTTCTATGGAATTGGATAACATATCCTTACATAGCCATATGGAGAGTGATAGTTAATACAAAATTAATAATGTGTTAGTTTTGTTACTGTTTCATAACTTTGCTTTCAAAGAATTATATTACCATACAATATGCCTTTCCCTCCCTCCCTCTCCTCCTCTCCTCCTCCCCCTCCCCCTCCCCCTCCCCATCTCCTTCTCCCTTTCTTTCCCTCTACCCCCCTCCCTCTCCCTGTCCCCCTCCACCTCTCCTTCTCCCTCTTGTAATTGGAGAAACTGCCTATCAGCCTATCATCACAAGTAAGTGGTTATTTTTTTAAATGTAACAATGTTTCCAACACTACTATGAATATGACTCATACTGTATATCATAAAAATTTTATAACGATTTGTTAATTAGTGAATATGCTAGGCTACCATGAAACAATTGTATTGATAATACTAGGCTACCATAAAACAATTATATTGATGCTTCTTCATTATCAATACATGAACCTTTATACCTGTTAATAAATATGAATTTCTTTTTTATGTTATCTTTTTATTTTTTATGTCTAGCGTTAGTAATACATGTGACATCTACAGAGTTTTATATCATATAAAACAGTATTGATGTAGGTACTGACACAGACGATTCATCTTGTAAACAAACGGTGTAAACTT